CTGGCCTCTCACCTTTGACCCCGCACAGAGCTTAGCTAGGACTGCTGGCCTCTCACATTTGACCCCGCACAGAGCTTAGCTAGGACTGCTGGCCTCTCACCTTTGACCCCGCACAGAGCTTAGCTAGGACTGCTGGCCTCTCACCTTTGACCCCGCACAGAGCTTAGCTAGGACTGCTGACCTCTCACCTTTGACCCTGCACAGAGAATACAGATAGTTCCAATAACAAAAACACTAACAACAACAAAGATAATAATAATAATAGTAATAATATGATTAGGATCATAATTATAGTAGTAACAATTAATGATAATACCGGTAGTAATAACACACACACACGCGCGCGCACACACACACATGACATATGCACTTACACACACACACAAGACATATGCACTTACAGACACATACACACACACACATACAAACAACAACAGCAACAACAACAAGAAGAAGATGACCCCAGCATGTGTCCAGCCCACTATCTAGAGCCTATCTCACAGCGGGAGATAACTGGGCCGGCCAGAGCCAGGGGGTGACACTGAAGGTGGGAGATAGTAGGCCGGGTAGACAGTCACGATACGTAGACAGCCGGGTAGACAGTAGGTAGGTGGCGGGGAGATACCAGTATACAGTCAGTAGGTGCCGCGGAGAGGAGATACAAGACGTAGACGGCCGGATAGACAGACAGTAGTAGACACCACGGAGGTACAAGAAGACTGTCGGGTTGAAAGGATATACAATAAGTAGACAGAGAGTTCGGGTAGAGAGGAGACCTAACAAGACAACAGTGAGATCTGTAGAGAGGATTGAGCGACTTCACCATGGCTCTACTCATCTACGTCATCTGTGCTGTCCTCGTCCACGCTCACTGGTAAGTTGTCCTCAGATCGTAATGATGATGATGATGATGATGTTGATGATGATGATGATGATGATGATGATGATGATGATGATGACCTTTAGCCCGTCAGCCGCGGACAGATCCACTCGACCTTGACCATAATCTATCAGCTGACTGTCACAGTCCCCGGTACAGAGACATGACCAAGTGATAACAGAGCACAGAGGTACTGCTGATAGCCCAGGGTCACTCATACTCAAAGATCATCATCATCATCATCATTATTATTATTATTATTATTATTATTATTATTAG